GCCACATTGGGGCCGCAGGAGGATACCACAGCGGGCATCGAACAATGATGAATATACTACAGTCTGGGTTTTTCTGGCCAACCCTTTTTAAGGATGCCATCGATTCCGTTAGTAGATGTGACATATGTCAAAGATCGGGGAACATTTCATCCAGGGACGAGATGCCTCAAAACATCTCCACTACATGTGAGATCTTTGATGTATGGGGTATTGACTTTATGGGACATTTTCAATCTTCTTTTGGATGCAAGCATATTCTTGTGGCAGTCGATTATGTATCAAGGTGGGCTGAAGCTTGGCCTAACTGCGATCTAGGGAGGCTCATACCTGAGCGAGCCTTCTTAACTTGAATCACAACCTTACCGCTTTGTGTTTGCTTAGATTAGTTACAACTCCAGTACATTCAAACTTCTAGATAACGAGAACTTCACGAAGTAGTCATCACATCTAGGACCCAGGTTGACAAGTAAAGCTAGACCCGTTATACTACGCATTAGTTTGTGGTTACACTTGGCCACTTTCTAGTGTGACGGTATTGGTGAGTCACTACGCAAGTATGGTGTACATCATCGAGTCTCTATGTCTTATCACCCTCAGACTAGTGGCCAAGCGGAGTTGACCAACCGTGAATTTAAACGAATTCTTGAAAAGCCTGTTTCACAATCTAGAACAAATTGGCCCCTCCATCTAGACGATGCTCTTTAGGCGTATCAGACCGCATACAAGACCTCGATTGGCACCTCACCTTTTGGTTGAAATGCTTGTCACCTTCTGGTTGAAAAAGAACATAAGGCATATTGGGAAATAAAATCCGTCAACTTCGATGAAACACTTGTGGGAAATGAGCAGAAGCTACAACTGATGGAACTTGAAGAATGGCGACTTCAAGCTTATGAGAATACTATGATTTACAAGGAGCGTGCGAAGCGATTTCATGATTCCCGACTTTGCTAGTAAAATGAATTCTAGGAAGGTGACAAAGTACTCCTTTACAATTGCAGACTTTGATTGTTTCCAGGGAAGCTTGAATCTAGGTGGTACGGGAATTTTGTGGTCACTAAGGTATTTCCCTACGGAGTTTTTCAAATAGCCAATGCTGAAAGAGGGGAATTCAAAGTTAACGGCCATCAACTCAAACTTTATCTCAGTGGAGTGTCTGATCAAGCCAAAAAATCCTTCTTCTATCAGAACCCTGACATCCGCAGAGCTTTCATCTAACTTATGACATTAAAGAAGCGTGTCGGTATTGTAAATAAGTTAGCAATTATATTTTGCTAACAGGTCATGGGTTTTTTTATTTTTATGTTTGAAGACTTTATATCCCCTACCTTCTTATTTTATATTTATATATCATACCTATAACTTCTATTCGTCTTCCCCTCTATCTTACGCGCTTCATCGTTGTGCAAAACCACAAGGAAACCAAAGACTGCACTTGTGAACCTTCACCAACCCACAACCCGATTTATGGTAACATTCATGATCTTTTCTTTGGAAACTCAAACATTGAGGACAATGTGTCGCTCAAGTGTGGAGGGGATGTTTGTGTTTGTTTGAATGTCTATCATGATTGGTTGAACCGATGATTGTTATCATTTTCTCTCGTTTATGAATGTAAGATGTTGATAAACGCTTGTGGGAGTGTGTGCTAGTAATCATTTTTATGTTGTGGTGATGAATGGTGAAATTTTAGTGTTTTTGGAACCTTGAATGCTACAACCAAATTTTTTCAAATTTGAGGGTTCCAAAACACCTTGTCCTTGCAATTACCTACTCAATGTGCTTTGACTTGATTAGATTGATAGATTTGTGGTGCATCTTAGGTGATAGGTGCATAGTGTGAGAATAGGTACGTGAGGGATTCTACTACTTTCTTCCTCTTTTGTGAGTCGTTAATTTTGCTACTTTAGGAAGGCATTGTGTGCGGGATTCTTTCCTTTGTGTGAACTAGGAAGTTTTACAATTTGTGCTTAAGAAAGGGAAAAGAGGTTCTCACGTGAGTGGCAACCGGGCAAAGACTTTAGATCAACCGTTAAATGATTGTTCTCTTGGCTCGGAGTGCCCTTCGAGGATGTGTTTGGGGTTCATATAGCTTTATTGAATTCCGATTATCTCGTACTACTTACCACCCCCAAACACCTCTCCTCCTCACGGAATCGTATGCTAACGACCAAAGGTACCTTTTAGCGATTCATGAGACTTCATAGCTCTCATTTGTACTCCAAATGTGTGGCAACCCAATGTGGAGTGTAGGCTGGGACATGGTGCTTGGGCTAAGACAAATCCGACCATCAAATTCCCCACATGTGACCTTGAAAGGGAAGGCTATGATTCATCCGCTCTTGGTCACGAGGGAGAGATGCTATTATGCAAAGAAAAAAATTTGAAAAGGTTTGGTGCAATGTGCATGAACAAAGAAAAAAGTGATCGAAAAACGACAACTCCTACATCAAAAGAAAAGAATAAAAGCACCTCTAATAGTTCTAGTAGTTGCTTGTTGTCTGAGAATCCCCCGGAGCACATATTTTATGATCGGCCTAAGGTAGATATGGTCCTCACACAAGAGTTTATGCTTGCATAGTAGGAAGATAGTATCGTTTATTCATACATGTATACTCTCATCTATGCAATGAAGAACTAGCATGTATACCTCATTGATTTGTTTATCATATTGCATAAGTTTGAGTAGGTTTGTTTGGGGACAAGCAAACGCCTATGTGTGGGGGAGTTTGATAACACCAAACTTGGTGTTATTTACCCTGCATATCTAGGTATGTTTTCTTCCAATTCATGTCATTAAATTATTGAACATTGTCGAATACATCCCTATTACGTTTCTATTTGATTTCGATGTGATTTTAGGGTGTATTAGTCGATATGTGCGACTTAGGTACACAACAAGGTCACAAGTGTAGAGAAGGGGCAGGAATAGAAGATCGTGGCCTAGAAGCCAAAGATCACGGTCGAAATCACAAGCCGCGAAGACGAGCTAAAGATATTGGCCCAGAAGCCAAAGATCACGATCGCGATCTTGGAGGCCCAAGGGGCGAACTTCGTGTGGAAGAAGCCTTGGAGAAGCAGAGAGTTTCCCCCGTCATATCACGGCCAACGTTGAATTTTCCCGCGAGAAGATTGCCGCCACGACCAGTCAGCTCGCGATCTTCCCCCTTCAAAAGGCCCTGACAACGTCATCTTGAGATCGTGGCCTATCCTCAGAAGATCCTTCCCGCGATCTCCCATCCTCAGACCGCGACTTCCCCGAGTCTAGAATGCCTATAAATACAAGACCCCTTTCCCCTTTTTAAGGGAGCTGATTTTGAGAGAAATTTTCTCATTCTAGAGAGAGACGAGAGAGAAGCTAAAGGAAGGAGAAGAGAATGAGAAGAAGGAGGAGCTAGGAGCAATGAGGAATCTTCTTCAACCCCAAGTCTTCTTCTATTTCTACCATGTATCTTCTTCCCTTATCTTCCCTAATTGATGACGCTTGGGTAATTTGCCATAATCTTCCCTTTTAGCCTACTTTATGCTACTGCACTGGGTACGGAGTTCTAGGGTTAGACGGGTATGCACCAACTAGTGAGTTTAGGTTAGATATGTGAATGGGGGCCTATAGTGGTCAAGGTGACCGAACTCCTGCTATAGGTAGCCTTCCTAGATGAAACCTTGGATGAAACCTCGGTGTGGATGGTGGATAGTATCCATTAAAATGAGCCATAATCTTAATGCCCAAGATACGATATCCTAGATCAAGGTGTTTGGAACATGGGTTTAGGGGAGGCGTACTCGGAGGTGTATGGATAACCACGAAAGCCCACGGAAAAGAGCTCACTCACCACATTCGATGATCCTAAGTATCTATATATGCACAGTGTCCCTAAGCTAGGGGGAGGGATAGTTCCCTGAAGTGCCTTCTTTTAGCTTTGATCAATCTCTAGACTACTGTTTCCTCATATCCTCCCCTCAAAAACTCAATAACCGATTAACTAATTAGCAACTAGGTGGGAAATAGGATAGGGTACCAGGACCAGAGTAGAATACGACCTTGATTACCACTATACGTCAATGTCGTTTTAGGTTAAACTTGGCCTAGGATGAGATAGTTGTTGATACATGCTAACCTCCGACAATAACCTGCAAGGATTCAAGTGATCACTTGCTGTTACAGAACTTGGAAAACCAAATCCTTAGCCAAAATCATGAGTTTTAGTTTATTAGCAATGATGGTGGATTCCTCGGTCTTGGAATTGAGTTCCAGACCGTGATAGTTCATAATGGTTTGTCGTAGTTAATTGACATCGGATGAGTTCCACGATCAATCATCTTCAATCCTCGGTCATTGAATCCATACACCAACCAGAGATTTTTCCTGCTCAAAAAGCACGTCTAAACTCCTAATCCACGGTCGTGGAATTGACTACCCAGACCATAGATTTTGACTTTGCATCCTCCAAATCTCGTCTGCTCTCCAATTGCACAGACACTTGCTTCTAAGCCTTCATTCACGTACTAGGACATAAAATATAAAAAGCAAGCACTACCTAGCGTAAAATGGGTCACAAAGCAATCAAATGCCATGCCAAATGATCAATAAATGTCAGAAAAAGACATGTACAAATACGGTATTATCAAGACCCTAGTAAAGCCAAACACATAACTCTCTTGTCCACCAATTCTTATTTATTCTCACTGGACAATGATATGTGCAGATCTCACTTCTATAGTGAATGTAGTCGTATAATTGCACTTTTAGTCAATAAATGGTACAATAGTTCATATCAAAATATGTATGGATTGAGGACATAAATAGATGTGTTTTATATGTGTATTGATGCTCATTAATGCTACAAAAAGCTGAAACTGCTTAAATTGGAATGCAAACTAGTTGTCCATATTTTGGCTAATTATGAAATAATACTCCATGCCATCTATGTAGCTCCCTTTATTGTTGTTCTAAGAAATATAAAAACACTCGATGATTTTTAGTAAGGAGAACAAGGCTAAGAATTACCTGAAATTTCTTTATTTGACAATTTGTAACCTGAACGGCTATCTCTAAAGACACAACGAGATGCTAAAATATAAAATTAGAAGTATTCAATTACTAGTGCAGCTGTCGCCCTAGTTCTAGATGTAAAAGGTGAAAATGATACTAAGTAGAGAATACACTTGGCAAGTAAAGTACAACATTACGAAGAAACTCAACTGGTAATTTGACGGGATTTGGTAAAACAAAATCTTGGCAAAATTGCTATTGATGTTTGGGTTCTAAGTTTGAGATCTTCATTCCGCAGCTGCTGAATGAGCAATATCTACATCTTCATTTCTTGTTTGCGGTAGTGTCGACAAATCTGTACGAGCCTCTTTCTCTTCTTGAGAAACTGACGAACTCGAAGAATCAACTGAGACACTCTGTATCTCTTCTATGCCACTATTTGATTCTGATGATGATTCATTATGCTCATGTTGGTTCACTGTCGAAGACCCAGACGAGTTAACTTCTTGTCCTTCGCTTGCACCATTGTTTCCATTTCCGTTGTCATCATCGTTCTGTCTAGCATCACTGCCCACAGAAGTGACCTTCTCTGTTTGAGTTTCACCTTTATTTTTATTCTCATTGCTGTCATTTTCACCTATGTTTCTATCTATAACATTCTTATCACCATTGTGGCTGACACCATCTTTCTTTGACTTGTTGTCTTCTTTTACATGGCTATACACAAAATTATTCTCCTTATTCTTGTTTCTGTCTCCACTACCAAATAAGACCTGCTCTTTTTGCCTCACACTAGTATTATAGTCTGCACCATTACTATATGCACTGTTTGCTTTCGTGTTTAATAATTTCGAAGAACCTTGGTGAGCTTTGGCATCATTATTTGTGTTTGAGGTTGTCGATTGCTCTTGGGATTGCAAAGAATCATCTTGTTCCTTTTGACCAACATCTTCATTTTCATCCATATGTGAAGATGATAGACCATCTTTCTCACTTCCAATTGCATCACTGTTCCGAATTCTTGGCACATGGTTATTGGGGATTTCATACTGTTCCCATGAGTTGTCATTTACACTTGATTGTTGATTAGTGGATTCTCCATTCTCTGGTATAGTTGAATCTGGTTGTTGGCTGTTATATGTATCCAATTTTTCTATTTGCTTTGGTGGAGCCTTATTCATGGATACCTTCTCCTCTTCAGATGATGAACCATATGATATTTCAACTCGATCCTGAGAATTTACGTCTGCATGTTGTGTGAATGTTTCAGCTTGATTCTGAGTGTTTTCTTCTGCATTATGTAAGGATGTGTGACCAAAATTTGAGTTTGAATCTACCTGGTCTCGTTGGGTTTCTTCAGTTGTGGACGACTCATGTTTGGTCGTCTCATTACCTCCCACTTCTACTTTTGATGAGCTAGAAGAACCATTATTTGCTACCTCTTCAAAAGCTTTTTTGTCATTCTGAGCATCATTATCAATTTCGTCAACACCTTGACTCCCATTTATTTGTTCATTCACCTCACTATTGTTTTTCTCTTTGGTCTTCGGCTGGTCATTTTGATTCTCTTCAGCTCCTTGACTCCCATTTAATTGTACAGTCACCTCGCTCTCACTTTTCTTTTTGGTCTCTGACTCGTCGTTCTCCTCTGGTTTCCCATGCTCTTTTTCTCCATGTACAACAATATGATGTTGATGGACCAATGCACTAGAAGCATCATCTCCATTGTAATTCTTCTCTCTTTCCTCCTTATTTTCTCCATTATTATCATCATTACTGTGATGTTCTATTCCATGCCCTTTATTTTCCATGTCACTACTGCCTTCACCATCCCCCTCAATTTTTTTCTTTAGACTCTTCTCAATATTTCCATTTTCGTCACTCATGTGATCTTTTGACTCTTGAGTTTTCTTGGTCTTTTCACCAACACTTCTACTGCTCTGATAATTATGTTCATTTTCATTCTCTTTGTTGCCTTCCTTTACATCTTGTTGTGCATCTTCATTCAGTGAATCACCATCATCATTCTCTTTGGTATTTGTATCATCGTTGGAGTCCTCCTTCATCTCTTCTTGGCTATTTTCATTTTCTGTTTCTTCATTACTCTGCTCCTTCCCATCTTCCTTCTCTCCACTACCATGGTCAGTTCCCTGTTCTGTCTTGTCACTAAAGTGGTTGTGGGATTCTTCTTCCCCACTAATTGTTCTCACATTTTCATTTGGCTTGCTATCTTCTTCCTCATCTTCTTTAAGTGTTTCATCTCTCGTGATAGTTTCCTCAACTATTGGACGAAGATCCTTTCTGCCAAGTTTAAGTACATCACTCCCAGTTTTCACATGGTTCTTGTACTCTCCCTTTTTCTCATGAGAATGCTTGACTTGATAAATCAACCAGATGCAAACACCAAGCAGAACACATAACTGCAAAGCATGCTTTACTTTGAAACCTTTTGTTCTTTGATTCCTACGAGGTGATGACTTGAACATGGTGACCAGTTACACAGATTTCAGTGGCTATCACCTTCCCATTACCCTGATCAAGATGGAACATAAATAAGTTGCTTTGCATTAGCTAGCAAGTGTTAAGTTATCTAGTGAATAAACTCATTTTCATGACAAGATAGAAGCTACACAAATTGAATTATGACAAACATTACTAAATTCTACAAATATAAGCTTCCAAGTAAAGATGGTAATAAAATCATAAACAAATCAAGTCGACCATAAATACTGAACAACAATCTCAACCACTTATAGGATGCTAATTAACTTAAAAAATAAAGCCGATGATGTTTATAAAATCTCAACATTAAAGAAACATATGAAAAAGGGTACGAGACAATGATATAGATGAGAGAGGGGACGAGTTAGTTCAAATTTTTTTTAAGACAAACAATTAGAATTGAGAGGGTATTCAATATAATGTGCAGGAAAGCCATGAATATTAATCATTAGAACCCAATTGCCCAAAGTGGAGAGCTAAGAAGGAACAAAAAATTCATCATAGAAAAATCAATCTTATAAATCACACCAATCAAAATAGAGTTAAACAATTATCAACACTCTTTTACAGATGCAAAGGCCTCTGGCTTCCAAAATCCAGTTGGTAAAATTCCCAAAAATCATAAATGCCACAATATGACAATCAAGCTCGGATCTGAAATTCCACAAAATAGATCTGAATCGCCCACTTCTAAAATTGAAAAACTTACCTCGAACCATCAAACAGAGAATAAAAGCGAACGTGGTCAACAAAAACTAACTTCAAGACTCTGCCTTTTCTTCCTTTCTTCACTTGTTGCTACTAAATCTGAGAAGGAAAGCAATTGTGCTTTGTCATGTGCCAAGATAAAACTTCCGATAGGTAAAAGGGACGATGAGGAATCGGTGGAGCTTACACAGACTTATTGTGCTTTCTTTCGATTCATAATGGCATTTGTTCACAGAGAAAATGCAGAAACGAGATCTAAATTGGAAACTCCACAACTCTAAGTAGACAAGCCTACAAATTGAAGAGTGCTAAGATATAATAATAATAATAATAATAATAATAATAATAATAATAATAATAATAATAATAAGTAAAATACTAAAAAGGCGTTCTTGCGGAAAGCCTCCCGCAACTTGGACTTTATCTTTTTCTTCCTACTTTTCTTTGTAGTTTTAAGTGAATCTTTCCCCATTTTCCCCATTTTTTATTACAAAATTCATTTTTATTTCTAGACTTAATTTTTTCCTATATTTTAAACGATTAAATATATTATTAATTGAAATTCTTTTAGCAAATACTTTAGATTTATTTTTTACATATAATCCAAATACTTTAGATTTTTTGTGCATACTCCAAGAGGTTGGCCTAGTGGTGATGTTGGGATGAGAACATCCACCACACCCGGGATTCGAAGAATGGGGCCAACAACCTACCAAAAAAAAAAAGATTTCACGTGCATGTGCATGTAAAATGTCGGATAAATTCCAAAAATAGTCTTTTCAAAAAACTTTACCACCAATATGGCAGTTTTAAAGACTATTGACATGTATATTGTGTTTTCTTGTAGGGAAACAGCGAGCCCGCCCGAGACTGAGGCGCGGCCGCTAGTTATTGATTTTTCAATAAATCCCAGCAGTGGCACACGAGACTGGGGCGTTGGGGCCTATTTTAACGCCTCAGCATTGGCGCCCGAGGCTGAGGCGGGTTCACTGCCTCCCTCATCAACTCCAGCACCATATATACTCTTACCTTTCTTTCGGTTCTTTACCACCAAAAAAATCTACGAATTTTTAGACGAGAGAAGCTTTGGTTGCTGTCTGGATACTGGGAAGATGGCTAATAATAGGTAAGAGACGTATTTATTTTTTTAATTATATTCTTCAAATGCTATAATAATTTTGTTTAGTTAGTAATTAGTGAGTTTGTTTTTCATATAGTGATTTTAGAAGATTTGAACTAGCTGTTCGATGGAAATCAGAGAAAGTAGAGGATAATTTGGGCGTCCATTTCGTTGGTGGTAGAATTTTTCAATTGACTGTTCCATCTAGGGTGAACTATTAGAAACTTTGTGATAATCTAATTCAGAGAATATGACGTAAAGACTAAGCAGTACAAGATAGGTTACGTAGGATTGGGATGCCGGCGCTCACTGAAACCTAAAGTTGTAACCCCTGCTGCCAACATGTTAGCCGACTCCTCCATCTGGTCAGTGGACATCCCTCCATCTCAAACTCCATCACGTAAACCCAACTCAGTGGACTCCATGCTGTCGTACTAAAAATTAAATTTAAAATATCAGAAATTCTACACATCTAAAAATAATTAAAACACAAATATGAATTAATAAAAAACTTATCGCTTCGTTCATTGCAGCTCCTCTCCGTGTGCCTGAACGTCTACTAGCATCTCGATACCACTCTCGATGCTCTGAGTGGTAGGCTAAATGGGCGTCATTATAACTCATACGGGCGATGAACTCCTGTCGACGGTTCCACAACTCAATCGACTCGCTGGCTGCCTATATCAACTGTTGCCCACGTGATGGCCCATGCTAGCCCCGACGAAGGAAAAACCTAATCTCAGCCGCAGGATGTGGCTGATGAGACTGGTCCTGCATCATGCCAAACTGTCAGAGCACGTGATCTGGATGGTGCCACATAGCTGATGAAAAGCATATTAGCGGAACTACTGCTCGAAATGTGTCGCACCGGGTCACAGTACCGCTGAAGTCTTGGGCTCTATCAAAGTAAGGATGCCACTGCACACAAAAATTGGTCACATAATTACTCCTAAATTGAAAACAATTCTATAAAACGAAATGTTATATACTAACCACGAATGTCGTGCTCTCGTCAAACCACAGCTTGTACGGATAGAACTAATCGCCATGCTGACGGGTATGGGCCGGAAGCCATCGAAGGCCACGTGGGACTGCGTCCTCGGTAATCTGCGCCCTAGAGCATTAGTAAGGCAGACCATCCACCAAGGTCACCACCTAGTGAAGAGGACTGCGTCATCTGCAGCACCGACCTATGTATCTCACGGTACACGTAGGATAGAACAGCTTCTCCCCAGGCAAACCTCCCAGCTCTGCGCCAATCCTCCAACAATATTAGGTACTGCAGATGAACTAAACCTCCTCACCGATCGAGGAACAAAACACCTCTAATCAAGACAGCATAAGCTCGTACAAACTGCCCTGTAGTCTCTGGTGATGCATTTGGCAGTAGCTGATCAAAAGTTTCCCTAAACCAAGCAATCCTAATGACACCGCTGGAAAGATCAGTAGGTGCCCGTCCTAACAGTCGAAGACACGTAACCAACCAGTCCTCGTATGGTATGTCTACTATGATGGCATCACCGTCGATGGCTAGACCGGTCAGTGTCGCAATGTCCTCTTAGGTGATCGTCACCTCGCCAAATGGCATGTGGAAGGTCGATGTGTCGGGTCGCCAACGTCCTTCGAGCGCAGTAATCAAACCCGGATCACCGGTAAGAGGCACCAATGGCAGAACCGTAAACAAGCCCATTTTGACGAGATACGGCTAATAATGTGGATGGGATCTGACTAAATTGCTCGTACCTCGAATATGATAAGGTCGATCACCAACCTATAGTGTACAAAACCTATATTAATTCAATTTCATGCGTACTTCTAAATTCAGTTCACCTAATATCTATATTTATATATATAATCTACATTTATTCTAATTTTAACATATATTTCATTCGTAATTCTATTCTATTTTAATTTCAGTTCAGTTCAGCTAATAAAAAAACTATAGAACTAGTTTGAAAACTTACCTCGTTTGCCCAAATTGAGTCAATGCGATGGTGACCGTGCCCCCAACAAAGTACCGGATCCACCGGAGCTGTATCAATTGTCGTAGGTAGTGGTCTCATTGAATAACTGTCCATAAGCCTAGGAACTGAAAAAAAAAACAATTAATTAAAACATAAATAAACTCAAAGTAAAAAAAAAACCTCGCCGGCGACGAGAATCCGACCACCGTCGACAAAAACCTCACCTCGGTAGCATTCGCCGCCGCCACGACCTCGACCTCGCCGCCCTCTGCCCCTTCCTCTGCCGGCGCCGGCGTTTGCTTCCACGCCGTCGGACATCTTCTCCAAAACAAGATATGCTTTGAGGGAAGAAGAAGGAGATGGCAGGCGCGTTATGGACTCAGGCGTCTTCGTCAGGACTAAAGCGCGACCGCCTCAGTCTGAGGCGAGGCTGCCTGTTTCAGCGGCGCAAGGGCATGGACGCTGGGAAGACAAGGGTTCTCGCTGCTGCTGCGGTGTCCTTTCTCTCGGGTGAGAGAGGTGAGTGGGTGGAGAAGATAAGAAAAAGTGGAATGCGAGGCCGCCTTAGTCTCAGGTGCTAGCGCCTTTGACTCGTTGAAAAAAATTCAAATCACGTCACCGCCTGAATCTCGGGCAGGCTCGCAGTTACCCTACAAAAAAACACAATATACATGTCAATAGTTTTGAAACCGCCATATTGGTGGTAAATTTTTTTTAAAAAGATAATATTTATGTCATTAACCCTAAAATGTCATAATATTTATAAAAAATTCTAAAAATATAAATTAAAACTTAACATGATGAAAGTTATGAATGAATTTTACAAGTGCCATGATGTAATTTGCCGTAAAGAATAATTATGTGTATGACATAATATAAATATCTTATTTATGAATAATAGCAATTTTATGTAATCAAATATGATAAATAGAAACCATATTTTAATACAAATGATAAATCTTAGATGCTAATCTACAAATATAATCTATTCAACAAAACTACACTTCTTAACAAAACATCATAAAATAATTATAGTAAATGACCATTGGAAAAAATATGGTTGTTGGAAAATAGCTGGCCATTGGCCTATTTTGTCCGTTGGGAAAGCAGCCATGCGTAGGTAGTCTTAGCTAATATATCCTGTAGAAATTTCGAGCAATCCATGAACTATAACTCTACAATAGACTGAATCGTGCATACCAGTTCTAATTCTTACAATGACTACTTTCCAGAGATCCTTCTCGTTCTTTCCATACGTCACTAACAATCATTGTCTACAATAATCTTTCAAGAATTCTTATCCAACTTAAAAATAACTTCACTTAGTCCTTCATGACATCCTCCCTTTGGTGAATAATTTCTCTCGAATGAGTAAATACAATTTGCAGAACCTGTTGCACAGACCCATATAAAGAACAAATGATCTCTAGACTCATTTTCAGACAAGAATAATTTGAGTATCTTAGCTACCGTTTAGCCAAACATAATTAATTAATGTTTGATATATATTATATAAAATTATCATTTGAGCATTTTGGCCACAAATTTACACATAAAATCATTTATCAAGGCTTTGTAAGAAAACTATTCCAACAAAAATCTTGTCACCCTAAGTATTAGTACGAGGTCAGATTAGCACATAATCTATACTAGTTGGTATGAACATTGTTTGATTTTTTTTTAAATTAATCATGTTATATATTAAGTACAGAATTCACATTTCTTTATTAATATTGAATGTCTTGACTTATAAGCACATATTGATATTGCTTAATAATAAGCCTAGAAAATCAGTTTTAGAGTTTCGAATTGTTAAATGAGAAATTAGTTTATACTTTATATATGTATATTAAGTGCAGTCATACACCTACATTAGAGTGTGAAGACTGAAGAATCATAGAATTCCTTTAAACAATGTGTAACAAAATAGTTTAATGCAATCATGAATTAGTTATATATGTTGCATGTACCTGAATTACATGATAATATTAAATGTATACAAAATTTTCATCTTAAAAAAAATAATTGAATAATAAAATAAAGGATTCCAACCAAGCGGTGGGGTACCAAGCTAGTTTAGAACTATACATTTACATCCTCTCCCCCTCTGCAACTTCTCTTCTGTCCCCTGCTATCACCTTCTTCCATTATTTTTCTTTGTGTAATTCTTTTCTTTTCACTCAACTCCCGAGCAGCGGTGTACACAAAGTTAACTAACTTCTCCCCTATCTCTAGCCGCCATCTTCTTCCATTATTTTTTGTATTTCTTTTCTTTTCACTTACTCCCGAGTAATGGCGTCGACAATACTCAAATTTTTTATTTTGGTCCGTGATTTCTGAAATTGCTCTTCTGACACGAACTATACACCATACTTACTTGTTTGGCATGACGCGGATTTTGACCGTCATATTGGACGATCAACTCCATTGACCATAAGTCAAGTGCCAGGTAACTTGCCATGTCAGCGAACCCGAAATAAAAAATTTGGATTTTGAATTTATAGAAAATAACATAAAATAATTATGCTTATTGTTATTAGATAGCAAAAATTATAATAATTATTATTAACTAAAATATTTACAGAAATTCAAAATTCAAATATTTTATTTCGGGTTTGCTGACGTGGCAAGTGACATGACACTTGACTAACGGTCTATGGAGTTGACCGTCCAATTTGACGGTCAAAACCCACGCCGGGTCAAACAAGGAAGTATGGTGCATAGTTCGGGTCAGGTGAGTGATTTCAGAAACCACGGGTCAAAGTAAAAAGTATGGGTATAGTTCGGACCAAAATAAGGTATTAACCCTTGATATATTTGTCAAAACATCAGTATTTTTTTATTATTTGTGATTAAATAGTTTTTGTTTTTGAAAATCACTTATATTATCAATGAATAATTTTTATTAAATAAATATATTTCAACTATTCATACGCAATTATATAATAATTTGGTAGGAATATAATAGAATCAATGTTTAGTTTTTAGACTTTAGAACTTTAGTACTCATATTTAATATGTTATTATGTGTATTCTATTCATTATATTCGTGTTTATGAGACATCGATTCATAAATAATTTTAATTTTTTTTAATATTGATGATTAATCTAATAAAGTGTGGGGTTGTTTTTTTTGAAAAAAAAGATTATGCGGGCGCTCTCCCCTCTCTCCTTCGCCTTGGGCGATGGATTGAGAGTTTTCTGCTCTCAATGATGATTTCAATCTTCATGCGGTGTTTGAGGAATCAACGTCTCACTCGAGATTGGATGACTAGCAAAAAGCAACATCCACCCTCACAAGAAGAAGTATTAATGACAGATTTTGGTAAACTCTAGAGCGTCTCTTCCTGTCGCCAGCAGCGCGCCTACCAACATAGCTATGACATAACTTTAATGGATAAATGCTATTCCAAAGAAAGGGATAGTAAACGGAAGCTCAGGCTTGTCCTAGCAAAGAACAAAGTTCTCGAATTAACTAAACGTAGGCGACTATGAAGAATGGTTGCTTGGAGATTTATAATTCCTTCCATGGAAGAATTGAAAATCGAGGGGTTGGTGGAAAAGACAGCTCCATTGGTTGCTAATGAGAAGGCAATCAGGACGGCCTCTAAAAGCGGTACATCCGTACCCTTGCAGGGCTTGGACTGTACATGGCCCCTTGATGAATGGACTGATACCGTCGATAAGCGTCCAACCAGAGCTCCGTGTCAGTGTGATTACAGTACGGTCCGGAGACTCTTCCCTACGAAACGCTCTCAAATATCCCTGGTGACCGGAAATGCTCCATTGACGAGAATCGAATCTGTAATCCTAACTGTCGTGAGGTTGTTGGGGGAATATTTCCCCAAGATACGATCTCCAATATTATTGGGATTTTTCAAAATATGAAAAAGATTATCTTTTTTGAGAATAAGAGTCCCTCTTTTCGACAAATTCGAAAAACCCCAAACCGAGCGGTAATGGGGAATCCTGGCAACGGATCTTGTCTACCCTATAAGACTCTCCATCCTAGGCCTGCTGCTCTCGTATTCTCTAATCTAAGAGTACGACTTACGGAGAGAGCAACGAACGACAAACCATTCTCAAGGATCACCCCGCGCTCAGGTACAGTTGGCTTCCCTCCCCTTCTCCCTCGTCTACCTAATCTGTTCGGTGGTCCCTCTTATGAATCCACGTCTCAATGAATGTTTAGTGATACAATAGACTATATTTCTATGAGTCCCCCCGACCAGGAACAGTTATTGGACCAAGCATGTATGTGCCTCGTCTGCCACACCTGAAGGCGTATGCAATAAATTTTAATCTTGATACCTCTAATTCACAGGTTTTCGAGATGGCTCATATTACCTCGGACCAGGTGGTACAATTATCGATGGAAGAAGTGCAATCGACAAAGTATCGAGCTGCTCACTCGTTACTCGGCCGGCTCTTCAGTAAGAATAGGATATCGACTACGGAGCTAGGGGAGTCGGTGATCACTCCTTGGCTTTTTTAGGGACGAATCAGAGTGGTGTTGGCGAAACATGGACTGATCGAGTTTATGCTACCCAGTAAAGAAGCTAAAATCTGGGGTGCTCAAACACACTCCATGGGTGATCAATGACAAGATCCTCCACCTACGGGCATGGACTCCGGTCATTACGAAGCAAATTTTTAATTATCTAGCAATTGTGCCATTCCGGGTTCAATTGTGGGATGGGAAAGAAGATTGTTGTACACAACAGTTTGGAAGGAAAGTGGTGAATACCACTATTGGCAAAGTCCTGGAATCTAGAGTCTTTGCTTGTTAGGATACTGGTAGCTGGTTTGTTAAGGTTAAGGCACTGATTGACATCACCAAACCACTTTGATCCCAGATTATGGTAGCCAATAATGATACTGGATGCTTCTGGGTTAGTTTGAAATACGAGCACCTTCCTAGCTTCTGCTTCCACTACAGAAGGGTGGGACATTCCAGCCGTGCCTGCACGTTTGAGCCACTAACCCGGAAAGAGAAATTCAGACCCCATATGTCTACCAAGAAGTTGGGGACTCAAATTTATGACACTGAGGAACAAATTCAAGCGTTCCCCATAGGTGGGAAATCGGTTTGGGTCAATAGAGATTACCGGCAGCAGGGGAGTAATAAGCATGGAAATGGGACTCAGGAAGCACATGAGGGAGGGCTCCATGCTGAAACCTATTGACGTCCTCATAGCTCAACGGCTGCCATCTCCTCGGCGATGGTGACAGGGTATCGTCGACAGAGCCCACGTGGCTCCAAACTGACGAGATCGCCAACTGTGAAGGTGGGGCATTCCCGCAATACCCCTACCTCTGGTCGTGATCATGCTGGCGAGTCAAGTGGCGGGAGAATCCCTATGCGATACAAGGAGCGGGAACCAACAGTGGAGTAAGATGAATAGGAGTGCTGCACACGTCGTCATATGGAGCCGATCAAGGAACCTGAGGTCCTGGTATACGAGCCTGATTATTCTGGAATCCTCTTTGTAGCTGAATCTCAAGTGGCCAAGATTCCACCAGTTGAGGTTCGACGACGAAAACTAATATTGGATGACTCGGACGACGAACCCCTCCTGCCTCCTCGGCCCAGGATGGAAAATGATGCTGGTTTTGAAGTGAAAAAGAAGGTCAAGTTTGGCAGTTTGGCAGGTCCATCTAGGGCAAGTTCGATAGGTGGTCGCGGCTTTCGAGGCTAGTATGACCATTAATGAGGAGAAAGATATGGCGAAAGAAGCTGAAGGGGAGATGATCACGAAGTTAAACGAATATGGGTCTAATTTTGATAATGGGACTCGTAAACGTTCGCTTCACAAGATGGATGGTTATATTGAAGATCGCCCCACACCTAAAAAGCAATTTGTGGAGGAACAGGAGGAAACTGAAAAGGTGGAGGAAGCCAGTCACGAATTGCCCCAATCCGATAAATGAGGCTACTGGCCTGGAATGTGAGAGGAATTAGACTATCCCTCACATTCCAAATAGTTGTAGGTTTGGTTAGTTCGAATAAACTGAACCTTGTTTTCTTTTCTGAAACAAGATCGTCCCGGCGAGTAGTCTCCCGTCGTCTGCGGGGTTTAGGTTTTGAATCTTCCCAGTGTTTTTTTGTTGATGACGTTAATGCATCTGGTGGTCTAGTTGTTGCTTGGTCCCCCGAAGTTGATGCTTCGGTGGTTTTCCATTCCAAATTTTGCATTTGTACTTGAATTAATGAGAATGATTTTTCTTATGTGGTGGTCGGTGTTTATATGATTTGTAATGACTCTTTGTGAGCTACCCAATTAACTCGATTGCACAAAATCTGTGAGGGTCTCCAGGAAACCTTTTTGGTTATTGGTGATTTCAATGTCACTCTACATGAAAATGAGAAGGATGGTGGCAATCCGTGGAATGCTTCCCAAGCAATTGAACTGCGGAATCTTATTAGTAACATGGGTATGCATGACCCAAGGTACCAGGGTGATCCGTTCACTTGGACGAACAAATGTATGAGGATGGCTTGTATTCGTGAGAGACTTGATAGGGCTTTGTGCTCGCGGACTTGGATGGATCATTTTCCAAAGACCCTAGTCAAGCATTTCACGGATTAAGGTTCGGATCATCGGGCTTTACTTCTTTCTGATAAACCTTATGTTCGAATGTGTCGCCCGCTGTTTCGTTTTGATGCTTGGTGGACGGATAATCCAGATTTTAAGGCCATGGTGTCATATTTATGGAAAGAGACGATTTTTTGCAACCCCGATGTTCCAACTTTGGGAGAGGTTGAAGAGACTGCGCCATCTACTCTATGAATAGAGTAAAGCGGAAACAACTAATTCCCTCCGTAATATTAACACCTTACAGGCTGAGATTAAGTGCATCAAATCAATCCATCCAATCAATTGGGACGAGGTGAAATGCATAGAAACAGAACTGAATAGACAATGGGAAGCTGAGGAAGTCTACTGGCAGTAGAAATCTCGGGTTTGATGGTTAAAAAAGGGAGACAAAAACATGTCTTACTTCCACACGGTTACGAGGGCCCGCATAAAACAAAACTTTGTTTCTGGCCTTCATAATGATGTTGGACACTGGATTATGGAGGAGCATGGGAAAGCGGAAATTGCCACAAACTTTTATCATATTTTGTTTACGTCGGAAAATCAGGTGCAGAATATGAGTGATAGGGTGGCGGAACTTCCTATCGCTCCCAGTGTGACTCCGGACATGAACGTGAGTATGACTGTCGAGGTTCTCCCATGTGAAGTCCAAAAGACGGTCTTCTCAATGGGCTCGAAACAAGCAGCTGGTTCAGATGGGTTTACGTGGAAATTCTTCAAGGCTTTTTGGAGTATTGTAGGGGATTCTGTGATTAATTCTGCCTGCTCGTTCTTTACAACAACTAAGATGCTTCGAAGCTTTAATCACACCTGGCTTACTTTGATCCCCAAAGTGGATCAAGTGGAAAATATGCGGCAACTCCGGCTTATCAGTCTATGCTAGTTTGTGTACAAAGTGATCACTAAAATTATGGCGGAGAGACTTTCTGGCTTTTTACCGAATATCATCTCGGGAGGGCCAAAATGCCTTTATCCGAGAAAGACAGATTGTTGAGAATATTCTCATAGTACATGAGTTAGTGAATTACTTGAAAATCAAAACCCGAAGGAAGAAGGGATACATGGCTCTAAAGGTTGACATGGAAAAGGCCTATGATAGAGTCGAATGGTCATTCCTCTTGGCGGTTTTAGAGAAAATGGGCTTTAACTCGGTCGGGAGAGGATGGATACAGGAATGTCTTCAATCAACATCATTCTCTATCCTCATGAATGGTTCCCCCTCTGGCTTCTTTTCTCCCTCTAGGGGTCTCCGACAAGGGGATCCTCTATCGCCCCTCCTCTTTGTGATCTGTATGGAGGGGTTTGCTACCCTCCTTCATAAAGCAATTTCAGAAGGGAAATTAGAAGGAGTCAAGGTCGCTCCTAGGGCACCCCGGATCTCTCATTTGTTCTTTGCTGATGATTCTTATCTTTTTCTCAGAGGTTCCCTCCAGGAATGTGAAAACTTGATTGCGGTCCTGAATGAGTATGAAGATCTCAGTGGACAAAGAGTAAATTTGGCTAAATCGGCAGTCTGCTTTAGCAAGAATATTGCTCTGGCAGATCAGGACTTTTTAGTAGAGATTTTAGGAGTTGGTGTTGTGGGGTTCCAGGATAAATACTTAGGCCTCCCGTCACTAACAGCCCAATCGAAGATGGCTACCTTCCGCTATTTAGAGGAAAAACTATTGGAGTGACTTCAGGGATGGAAGCGTCGGACCTTGTATTGGGCTGCCAGGGAAACATTGATTAAAATCTGTTGCCTTAGCTCTGCCTTTACATGTTATGTCATGTTTCAAATTGCCTTTGTCGCTATTTCGTCTCCTGGATAAGCATGCGGCCCGATTCTGGTGGGGGTGTTGAGGACGGCCAGTCTCGGATTCGGTGGGCTTCCTGGCGTAATATGTGTAAGAGCAAGCATGAGAGAGGGATGGGTTTTCGACGATTTGAGCATTTTAATCAAGCCCTTTTGACAAAGATTGGATGGCAAATTCTGAATGAACTCTGTTCTCTCTTGGCCCAGGTTTATAAAGGGACGTATTTTCCTCAGGGTTCCTTCCTTACGGCTATGGCTCGCTCCCGTCCTTCTTGGGGATGAAAGAGTATCCTACTTGGCCGTCAATTGCTGGAAACAGGTTTACGATGGCAAATTGGTAATGGTCAAAAAGACTCATTTCTCAACTCGAACTGGATTCCTCGGCAACATCCTTTCCCCTCTGTGTATAACCCATGAGTGCTACTGATAACGTCGTATTTGCACATGTTTGCACCCTCGTTTCTTGATCATTTTGGCTTGAGTTTTTTATTTCTTGGACTATTTTACGCTAGGTTGTGTTTCTTTGTCACATTTCAGGTCCTAGCAGGTAAAGTGAAGCCTAGGCGCAAGTTTCAAGTCAATAGGAGGTCAATTGGCGACTCGGGGTGAGAAACTCGGGAATGACTTGAGAAAGAATGGATTTATAACTCATGTTTTTGAAAAATAGTCATGAAATCTTTTTATGAAAATAAAGAGGACAAGACTACGAGAATATGGGATCAAACGGCACCTGAATCGGAGGTCAAACGAGCTCAAACGAGATCAACGAAGCTTAGGAGTGCATGTTGGAAATTGTGCACGGCCGTGTGAAATTCTGCACGGCCGTGTGGGTTTCCCAGGGGGTTTGCACGGCTAAAACCTCAATTTGCACGGCCGTGCAAGTAGGGGGTGCGAGTTTCAGCGGGTATAAAAGTTGTTTTACGATTTTTGGAGAGGGAGAGCTGGGTTTTGGATCCCAAACACCCAAGGGACGAACCAAAGAGAGAGAGGGCGATTTGAGGGCATTCTTGGAGTGTAATTGGAGGATTTCTTCTGTTTGGAAGCTCGAGGAACAAACCCAGACTTGAAGACTGATCATCTATACATTCTTACTGCAGTCTCTCTCTTCTCTATGGAGTAACTTCCCTTCACTTAGGTTTTGAGGAACCCGAGCTATGTTTGTTTGATTGGATGACTGTATGAGTACTCCTACTTGATAAACTTGAGTTCATATTCAATCTATGCACGTTTTCATGATTCAATTATGCTTTAGTCGAGATTATTGATTCTACTTTGATCCTATGAGAGCGAATACCTGATTAGGTCAATAGAGCACCATAGATTGATAGTATTGGATCAATTGCTTTAGTAGAGGGTTGATTCACTGTGTTGTATTGATTGAGAACCTCTTTCGATATATGGAGTCTAGTTCGGAACGCCTTGATCGGTTGTTCTAGAGAAGGATACGTCCCTCTAGGCAATTGACTCAAGAGGGCCTTGTTCCTTTAGTCGAGACTCAAGGTCCAGTCAAGGATTCTCCGCATTGTGAATGAAAGTGAAACAAGTTATAAATCATCAACATTAATCTGGCTAGTGGCTAGGAGGAATCATACCTAAGTGAGTTCCCAACCTGTAATTAGATTAACTTTAACTGTAGTTTGCTATAGTAGTTTTAGTTGTTCTATCTTAATCTGATTTGCTAGATAATGAATTGAAGCTGATTAATAGTAACTCTAGAGACCCGTGGATTCGATATTTATTACTTGAGCCACTATACTGCAATCCCTTTCATTGGTTACACTTGGCCATTGTTAGGAGTTGTGTAGCGTGTCAAGTTTTTGGCGCCGTTGCCGGGGACTTTCTAGATTATTAGGAAAGGCAGAAGTTTGTTACTTTAGCATTTTTCTTTTCTTTTCCACCCTTGCTTTTCACTTGGGTGTTTTTGTTTTTGTTGGTGCAGATCTGAATCATGGATCCTCATGGATTCTCCAATCATTGGGGGTATCCACCACCATCCGAGTGGTATTACCCCGAGATTCCCTAGAGCAATCAAGGAGGATAAGACTATGGATTCGGGTTCCAGTACCAACCCCCTTACTACGGTGAACAATCAGACCCCTGGGCATATCAAGAACAACCTCATTATCAAGAAGAATTTCTCCCACAACCAGAAGGGCCATCGGAGCTGGAGTTACCCATGGCGGCCTTCACGGGCCATTATGCAGAGCCATGCTACACTCCACAGCCAGATCCAAACTATGAATTGAGGCTTCTCATGGATCAGTTTGCTCGAGACAGTGAGAGATCATGCTCTAGGATGGATCTT